AAGCCTTTAGAGACCATCTGGCTTACGGATAGCAAATTAGAGGATAGGTCCGGAACGTAGGCTACGTTAGAGATAACCTGGACTGGTGATCTATCCTTCAGACTAATAGATACATCTCCAATCCATTAACTGTATAAAATTTGATTATTTGCAACAGCCACTTCTAAGCCAACGTTTCATTCTTCTGAAAAATTGACCAGCCATTCTTTGCTAGAAGTCATATGTGACGAAGCACCAGAATCAACATACCATTTTTGTCTATTTAGTTGACAACCTAATGAGGTAATAAAAACTCCATTCTTGGTTGACTTGTTCTGCTCATACTTTTTATTTTGGTTAGAAGTAGAAGGTCCACCAAGAGGTCCACTGACTTTTGTATTTGCACAATTTTGCTTATAATGTCCCACAGAACGCCATTCCAACACCAAGGCTTTTTGTCTTTCGCATTATTGACTTTATTTTTCTTAGACCACAAAGCTTTATTTGAATTGTGTTTATCATTCTTCCACTTTGTATCTTGTAGTAACTTGGATTTGATCAAATCACTCGTGATCTGTGCACCAGAGGTACAATCGCCATCACCATAGGATCATAGCTTTCTGGCAATCTTTGAAGCATCATAGCTCCCAGTAACTCATCATCAACAGCTTTATTTATGGCGCTAAGTTTTTGCGACACTGTCATAAACTCATTAAGTAATCGTCCATTTTAGAAAAATTTTCTAACCTGTACTACATAAGGTTCGAAGTAATCTGATTCCCCGATTGAGACCATTATCCTTGTAAGCTGCTTTCAAATTATCTTAAGCATCAACAGCTTTTTCACATTCTCTTATGTGAGGATAACAGCAAGGTTGAACCATCAAACAAATCTTTGTAAGAGCTTTTTGATCTTTTTTACTTTTTACTGCTTCTGTTGTCGTATCGCCTCCTGGATAGTCATTTATAGAAACCCAAAAATCTTCATGACGAAGTAGCATCTTCATGGCAAACGACGAATCACAATAATTATTCTCACTTCCTCTTAACTTATCAAAAGAAGGAGCTGAACTGGAACTTTCTGCATAACGTACAGTAGTAGACCTAATTGAAATTTGCTCGAAAAAATGTCTATAAAATCCCAACTTTAAAAAAAAAAAAAAAATCTTGACAGTTGGAATCTACTTCAAAATTCTCTTGTTGCAGTTTCAGAGGTTGACGAATCTTCTTGTGATTACATCTGCTGGCCTATCTGGGCCCGTAACCTTTGTAAGCAATAAGTAAACGCAGGACAGATGTGAAGTAGGAAGTAAAAGATTTGTAAAGATTGATGTATAAACTTAGAACGTTTTTACAATGAGAAATATTATATTATTCTAACAAGTACAACAACAAAACTTCAATGTCATAAATAATAAATGATATATCAAAATGTACAGGGATGATGTATTAGTGGAAGCTTCTTTCTTCAACAGAAACAGAAGACAAGGAATATACAGATGAAGAACAGAGGAAACCACATGTCCTAGAAATACAGAGCCAACAAAATAGAAACCGAGAACAGACCCAACAGCAGAGAACCAGCAACCAGAATCACAAAGCAGTAACAGAAGATCATAATGCAGCATGCAGTGGGCTTAGGGAAAAAATACTGATCACCTTGAAAGTAAGGATAGACAAAATACACAAAGAAATCCCCTAAAGAAAATGAACAACAACGGAAAAGGCAAGAAACTAATCAAAAGCGGCAATGAGGCAATTGAAGAAATAATAGGACAACACCCAGATGAATACGGAACGTAACGTCAATCGTCAATCAAAAACCTTGCGTACGCAGCAACAATATGGAACATACTGATACCAGAAACGAAAGGGAAGCGAAGAATCCAGTGCCGAATAGCAACGTTGAGAAAAGATCTATCACAACTGAAAAAGACCCAAAGTCCTGCGCTCAGCAAAACAATGAAAGATAAGAAAAGAAAACTCTTCACGAAGTACCACATCACCAAGGAGACTCAACTCAAGACGACGCAAGAAAAACTGAAACAACAAATAGCAGCTAAAGCCTACAGAATAAAACGATACACCAAGAGAAGCAACCAGTACTAAAATAAACAGTTCACGGAAAACGCACACAGACTCTACAACGAGATACTAGGGAAGAAAAACGCAATCAGAGGAACGCCAAACGAGACAGAGATACAGCAGTACTGGAAAAGCATACGGGAAAGAGACATCAGACACAATAGTATTGCGACCTGGATTCATAACAAATACGAAAAAACCTCCAAAGTGAAATGCATGAACTCAAGCTAGCAACCGATGGAACAGTAAACTGGAAAGCCGCAGGAATAGATGGCATACGAACAAAAAGGCTGCGTCTTACGGGTGCAAAGACCACCTCTTGACCAGCAACATGATCCAAAAAGACAGTAAGAACAACCGCAAAAACCTCTCAATAGCCTGGATTGACTACAGAAAAGCTTGCACAGCTAGCTAGTAGAAACCATGAACATATACCGAACCTACTCGAAACTCGCCTTCATAACAAAAAGCATGGCTACTTGGAAAACTGACCTACACCCCTGTCAACCAGATCAACAACCCTCACAATCAAAGAAATCAACTTCAAGAACGGCATTTACCAGTCATCGCTACTGTTTTCTATTACCCTGTTCCCCCTGAGTACCATCCTTAACAGCATAGGTACAAGATACACTTGCAGAAACGAGAAGCAAAAGATAAACCACCTCCTATACGTTGATGATCTGAAGCTGATAGCTAAAAGCGAAGACGAAATAACGCAACAACTAGAAAAAATATACGAATACAGCGGAGACCTACAGATGCAATTTGGACTAGATAAATGCGCAAAGGCTAGATTCACTAAAGGAAAGCTGAAAACGTACTAGACGAGAACACCAGCATCAAGGAATTAGAACAACAGGAAGTGTACAAGTACCTAGGAATTGACGAGAACGACGGAATACAGCACAAGAAGATGAAAGGTAAACTGGAAAAGGAATACTACAGAAGAACCAATACCAAACTTAAGACAAAACCAAGAGCTCTAGCAGTCCTTGTAATGCAATACAGTTTCGGCATCATCAAGTGGACGCTAGCAGAACTCAGAAAAATGGACAGATAAACCCGGAAACTACCCAGCATCCACCCTAAAACCAACGTAGACCGGTTATACTTGCCACATAAAGAAGAAGGGAGAGGCATGCAAAGCCTGGAAAACTGCCACACAATCACGATGAGAGGACTGAACGCCTACCTCGACCTGAAAAAGAGAGACAAGTACATCTGCATAGTGAACCGACAAAGAGAGCAGAACATGGAAAAAGACAACAGCGAAGACGAAAAAGCGGAAAGCGTCAGCCCGAAACAACCTGAAACAAAAAGAGTCAAACAGTTCAAAGAAGGACAACAGAAGAGAAGAGAACAGACAACAAGGTTGAGGGAAAACGCCCTACATGGACAAATCGCAGAGGAATCGGAAAAGGAAACCATCAAAACAGCTGCATCATGGAAGTGGCTCACCCATGCAAATTTGAAAATAGAAACCGAAGCACTGGTAACTGCATGTCAGGAGCAAGATATAGCAACCAACTATATGGAGGCAAGGATAATGAAGGCAGACATAGACTTAAAATGTAAACTATGTCACGCCTATTCCGAAACCATCCACCATATAGTGTCAGGATGCCCTATCCTAGTGAAGAAAGCTTACCTGAACCGCCACAACACAGTCGCCGCCCACCTGCACTGGAACATTTGCAAGGAGTAAAAGTACATGAAAAATGGTACAAACATAGCCCGGACCCCGTCAACGACACTCCTGAAATCAAATCACAATAATATGGAACACACAAGTGGAAACAGACAGAACCATACTAGTAAACAAGTCTGACATCATAGTGAAGGACAAGAAACAGAACACATGCATGCTAATAGATGTAGCAATCCCTTCGGACTACAACATCACCCAGAAGGAAGCGGAGAAAGGCTTGAAATACAAAGATCTGCAAATTGAAATACAATGCCTGTGGAACATGAGAAGAGTAGTAGTCCCTCTAGATTGATATCGCACACCTGTGAAGCGATAAAATAACTTCCTGGAACCCACAACCTGATGACACTTTAGAAAGCGGTTGTGCTCATATAGTATACGGAAAGTACTTTGAGAAACCAGCAGTAAGCAAAGACCAACACCGAAGAAAGAATAACCTTAGGCACACGGAGTGTACTCGGTTATTCCCTCAGAAAGACAAACCATAGCCCTAAAGAAAAAGCTATGAGATACTGAAGAATAATAATAATAAAAAAATAATATGTACTTTCAAGCATGATAAATTCTTGTAAGAAAAATTGAATTTCTGAGGCCGAAATCTATAAAAATAATCATGCAAATCACTTGGACTCGGCAATTAAAAATGTAATTATCTCGCCCCTCTCGAAATGTCCATTTAACGGTGACAACATATTAATGAAATTTAATAAATTTTCGGGCGAACCTTATAAGAAATAATAATTATCTAAAGGTCAAAGTATTTCCGTAAACACGAAATATTTCGAAACAAAACTTTGAGACTGGCCAGAAAAAAAAAGAAGATTATTTCACAACAGTTGAATCTAGAGAAAAGCTCTTTGTTTTTATTATAATTGTGTAGTTGTATTGAATACCAAATAATAATTAAAGTATTTAAAAGGAATCGGATATATTTCAATTATTCGGGCGGCCTTGCCTGGTTACCACCTTATCTTTCAACTATAAAATTATTTCTGGAGCCATTAGTATGTATTGTAGAGATTAGAGTTATAAAAGTTACATATTTAAAACTAAATAAATAAATCCTGAATTAATGTGATAAACTTTCTAACATAAGCGTGTCATCCAATATTTACTTAAACAAAAACAAAAAATGTCTATTTTTAACTGGAAAGAATGTCTTATCCAGGCACAAAAGTCTCACCCTATTTTGTATAACGAGCCTATTCGTTAAAAATGCAAATTTAATGTGCAAGCTACAGGGTACAGTGGTGCAATGCAGTTACAAAAGCTATAAACTAAAGCTATATTCGCCTACTGGGGTAACGGTAGTATTTTTAAACGATATGAATCTAAAAGGATCGTAATATGAGGTATAAAATAAATTATAATTTTTATAGAACACTTTAAATCAATCAACGAGGTAGGTAACAAAATAGATCCATAAATTTAGGATATAATTTCTTCCTGATCGTATTGATTGGCCAGAATCGAACAATTGTGTCCCATTATGCATTATTTATTGCTCATACATGCTACGTATCCGTTAAAATCGGAAGTTCCACCCATATAAGTTGAAAAAGTTATAAGAATAAATGCTAATCAGAAAATAATGTGTCATTTTATTAATACAATAAACAATCAACTATTGTACCAAGTGGCGAGGCTTGCATGCAAATATGCTAATCTAAACTATAATGGATTTATCTAAATAAATATATCTAAAGTTGTCTATTGTTATTATTATATTTTCAATTTGGTAACATAGTAATCTAAGAAAAGTAAAAACTTGCATTACAAAATTCTAATATTTAAAAAGGGCTAGAAAACTATCTAATGTTTAATTAATCTAATAGAATAATAGAACTGGAATTGAAAACAGACATAATGCAAGCAACAATAAGAAGGAAAATAGATACGGCAGCTATGACATCAAAGACAGTTCCAAGTAACGATGTATTTTGAATGGGACAAAAATTGGAATTCTATTGAATTGAAAAAATATGAGGCCCAGGGAAATTGATCACCTTGGACTGTGCTACCCTTTTCCTTTATTGACTATAAAACTACTTCAGGAACAAAGACAAAAAACTTGTGTTTGCCCAATGAGGGTTGACTTAGTAAAAACTAAATGTATTAAAACTGGTTGTTTGGACACACCTGGAAATCATCCCCCCAGTTTGCCTCAGTGAGGGGGTAATTGAAAAGGCGAGGATGTTTTCCGAAAAAAATAAAACTTTCTGAATATTTTATTTGTTGTATGAAAAAGTAATTAGAACCAGTCTGATAGGCAACAACGCAACTTCTAAAATGGAGTTTTAATTCGTTTCAAAACCGGAAACATTTTTCTCATTCCATAGTTAAACTTTTCAAGTTTTTGAAAACATTAGTCTATGGAATAGGAGGGCACATGCTGTCTTCTCTCTTATTGAGATCAATCAAGAGGGAAAGCGAATGAAGATAAAGATGTTATAATTCCCCGAGGCATTTCCCGATCATTTTATATCCACTTAATGAGCGGATACAAGTGGGCCAGCCTATATACAGTGTGATTTTTTAAATGTGCAACATATGGGGATTTTTTTAGTAATAGCACAACCCAAATACAAACAAGGCGAAAAGTTGGTGCATGTCTGATAATCATATTAGGTGCCCTTAGAATGGATGCAAGTCAAACAGCATACAGGGTAGCTCAAACCAATATCAAAGCTGTATTGTAAAGTACCCTTATTTTAGAAAATTCAGCAAAATGTTATAGAGAAAAGTTGTTTGGAATTAAAAGTTATGCCTAAGTACCAAAACATAGCCTCCTAAGATTTTTTTTGATTTTTTTTTCGAAAAAAATCTATAATTTCTATATTTTTTTTATTTTTCATTTCCGCCCCTAATACTTTCAAAAATTAATTAAAATCAAATCAATTTTACATAACTTTGTTCAAATTCAAGCATATTTGTAAAATTAACTTAGATTTTTAATTTTTTATGGAATCACAAAATTCATGTTTGTTGCAATGATATTCAACACAACGTTAAAATGTCGTAATTTTTTTTTAAACAAGTTAAAACATTACTAATGATAATAGCGATATTAAAAAAACTCTCTTTAAAGTGCAAAAGTTTTATTTTATTCAAGTAAATATTACTAGAATTTTGATATTTTTTGAGCTACCCTGTATGCTGTTTGACTTGCAACCATTCCAAGTGCACCTAATATGATTATTAGACATGCACCAACTTTTGGCCTTGTTTGTATTTTGATTGTGCTATTACTAAGAAAAAATCCCATATGTTGCACACTTAAGTAATGACACTGTATATGTTTGGCATTTTTTGCTATTCACTGTGTTGATATTTCTACCGCTGAAGCAGATGAAGTTAACATCTAATTTTTAAAAACAGCCAGATAACATAGGATGAATCAACTGGATTCTTCCAAATGAAACGGACTGGATGTTAAAAATTGTTGATCTTCCATTCCATCGTATATGTTTCAAAAGAAAATATTACACACAAAAATGGGAAATGGAGAAATTTGTGTAAATAGTTTTTAAACAGTGAGAGGACACCAATGAACTATAGTTAAAAACTGGAATTCGCACACATTGCCATATCTGCCAAAAAAAGCCATGAAAGACAGATGCCACAAGGGGGAATGTTGTTTTTTTCTGTTGCTCGCTGACATATGACGTTTTCGAAAGTTTTGTCATATTTCCCTTCACAGGTTTCATCAATTGGAATACGTGTTGGAAGCAATTTTCGCGATTTAACATAATGAGTGCGACAAAAACAGGTATCCCCTCCGCAGCAGCCGCACTAGGCTTCAAGTTCGTCCTTATGTGTTAGCATTCCAGTTTTTGGTTATAGTTCATTGGAGAACACCTAAGGGAAAAAAGTGCATAAATTATATGCTTATCAGTAAGTTAAATCCCAACATTTCTTGCTATCATTTTGGCTTTTTTTGCCCACCTGAAAACTGGTGTTATTTGTTATTATGGTGATGCATTAATTGGAATTACACAGGTCGGTACCTAGTGGCAAGTGGGTTGAATTCCCATTCAAATTTTGATTTTTAATTTATCAACAATTGTCAAGAGGTGGGATATAGAAAAATTTAGATGTAGTGGAAAAAATCAACAGAACTTGATATATTGTATTGGTTGCTCAAGGATGTTCCATCAAAGCTGCTTTGATAGGGACTGGAGGGGAGGAATAAAACTGGGAAAACATAAGATCTATTGTTCTGATGAATGTCAAGTCTCGAAACGGAAAACAACTTCAAGAAGAGATAAAAAAATTAACCGAAGAGATCCTTGAAAAGGATAAATATATAGGCAGACTCCGAAGGAACTTACAGGTTTTTGAGGATGATATTCTGAACTATGAAAGAGAACACTCCAGTGAAATAAAAAAATATCATGAAGTCGTATTGGGTCTTCAAAAAAAAAAACCAATCAAAGATTGCTATGGTTTTCTAAACGTATGTCTTAGCAATATTTGTCTTTAATTTTGTCAATGAAATTTAATGTCAAAATGTGATGTCAAAAATTCTGACCAATAAAGAAACAGTAATGTGACGTACGTTTTCGTAATCAAAGCAGTTTTTTTTTTTGAAGACCCGATATCTACACTAAAGGCGGAAATCATACAGGTAGCAGAACGGAATACCCACCTTCAGGACCTTATGCAGAAGACGAAGGAAAACTTGGAAGAGTTAACAGCTCTGAACAACAACTTGAGGGTTTCCTGTGAAGTCTTGGAGAAAGAAAACGATATGGCTGCAAGGAAAACTAAGCGACTGCGTGGTGAAGTATTTCATTTAAAGAGCTGCAGAGTAGCCCATGCTGAACAAATGAATGCGGGAAGCCATAATGCAAAAGAGAAAGGCGACGTAGTTACTCCCCCTAAGAATAATATATTCATCTTGGGTGATGGTTTGGCGAAAGGTTTCAGGGATATTGTGGAGCGATGTATGGGAAAAGAGTATCACGTTTCGGCCTTAATTAAAGAAAATGCGTTACTCGATGACGTTGTGAAAGAGGTTTTTAATTATACACGTCATTTTGACAAAAAAGACTATGTGATGTTAATGGCTGGTGTGACAAACAACACATCCAAAGAATCGTGGAAGATTGTTAGTGACTTATTGGGGAAGAATAATAATAAAAGGGTAGTTATGAGCAAGTTAAAGGCTAATGATCTTAACCACTTTTAGTGTAACATTGCATCCAATCTAGCCGCTAGTATTCATCAGCCGCTTGATCCCAGGGCCTATCTAGAGCACATTGTGGTAGCTGAAACATTCCTTTTACCCCCAACATCAGTACAAGAGATTAAGGAAATTATTTACGAGATTAAAAATAAGAATACATCGGGTTGGGATAATCTTTCTTTGAGGGTTATGTCTTATTTACCTGATGGAGCCTTGCGAGCTTTCACGAGAGCTATAGATAGTTCGTTTGTGTCGGGCGAATTCCCTGTGTGTCTCAAACAAGCTGTGGTTATTCCCTTGTATAAGGGTGGAGACCACGACACGCCGTCAAACTTCCGTCCAATAACGCTGCTTCTCATTGCTAAAATAGTGGAAAAACTTGTGAAGAGAAGGATGCTAGCCTTTCTCGGTGGACTTGGACTCCTGAGCGCCCAACAATTCGGTTTTCGAGATGGGATTGGCACTGGCGATGCCATTTTCAGTTTCCTTGAGCTACTCTATAAGCAGTTGAACGGTGGAGAGGTAGCCTCGGCAGTCTTTTGTAACCTCTCCAAGGCGTTTGACAGTGTGAATAACGAGATACTACTGTGGAAGCTTGAGCGGTATGGTTGTCGGGGTGGTGCTTTGAGGTGGTTTCGCTCCTACTTGTCGGGTAGATCGCAGACCGTAAGATTTCAGGATGGTGAGTCAGAACGCATGAACATCAATGTTGGAATCCCACAGAGATCTGTGCTGGGACCCATTCTTTTTCTGATTTATGTCAACGATTTGCCCCAACACCCAATTTCAGGAAAGTTTACTCTTTTTGCGGACGATACGACAATCTTGTGGCACGGCTCAGATGTGGAGAGACTGAATAATGACATTAATGCAGATTTGAGGATGGTGAAGGACTGGTGCGACTCCAATTTATTATCTTCCAATGTTTCGAAAACCAATGTTTTAAACTTCAAATGCGAACTGGAGAGTGTGTACCTGGAGAATAATCCTGTAACTCCACAAAACCACAACAAATTCCTGGGCCTCACAATTGATGAGTCTCTCAAGTTTGACGATCACATTTCTAATCTCCGTAAAAGGGTTTCTTCGGGATGTTATGCCTTAAGAGTGATATCGAGGAGTTTGGATGTCTCGGTTGCTAAGAATGCATACCACGCTTTGGTGGAATCTCACCTACGATATGGCCTAAGCTTTTGGGGTTGCTGCACCCGTTCACTTTTTGATTCAGTGTTTCTGCTTCAGAAGAGGGCAGTCCGTTGTATATTCAGAGTAAGGTCTCGTGATTCCTGTCGCCCTCTTTTTATCAGTCATGCTATCCTTACGCTTTATTCGATGTTTATAATGGAAACGGTGTGCATGATGTTCAGGAAATACGGGGCTGAGAGGGAGGCGGACAAACACTATAATACTCGTCAGTCGTTTCTTCTCGGCTTGCCCATACCTCATTCCCAACTGGTAAAAAAAATCATTTATATATGAAGGTAAAAAACTATTCAATCATCTTCCAATTGAAATAAGAAAGCTTGGATGCTACAAAAGTTTTAGGAAGCAGGTTAAGGCTTTTTTGGTTGATAAAGCATACTATAGTCTCGAAGAATATTTTAATGAAAGGATAGTAAATTATATAATTAATATAATATATATAACTGGTTGAGGAATATTGGACCTTTGTTTTTGACAGCGAATGACAATGTATGTTTGGTATCGTTTCCTTTGCAATGAGTCAACTTTTATATGTAAGAAAAGCGAATGTTATTTTTTTTTTTTTTCTATATTGTTGCGTTGTGTATTGTACGAGATTTTATATTTTTGTCTGTGTTTCATGTGTTGGTAAAGACTTGTTTTTTCTGTTTTTTGTTCTTTTATTCTCTGTTTTAACTGAGTAATGTTTTAATTTTTAATTTTAGTGTTAGTTTTAGACTTTATTTTAGTACGGCTTTGTCAGCAACATTTTGTTTTAAGACAATAAAGCTATTTTTGACTTTGACTTTGACATCCCTTGCTCTTCTGCTTCAAAAAAATCTTCCAGTGTTTCTTCTGGAGTTGGTATATTCCATTTATCTGGAAGTTTTCTACTATTCTCCTAGTCTATGAATCTGGGACAAAGATGAAGATAATAACTAGTGAAGAATTCCAATAATCTCAGCTAGCTGCCTTTTCTGATAAAATATTATCTACATACAAACATAATTTCGAGTGTCAAATCGGTTCTAACTACTTTCTTATGCAACAAATAAACTTTCAACAAAAAAAATAAAGCTATGAGGCATTTTGTCTAATTTATTCTACCAAATGAAGACGTTATTTGGAACTGATAAACTGCATAAACTGCAAAAGCGCATGTCACCTTTGATGCCACGCCAGTTTTGATGCCGGTGGGGCGCTGCGCAGAAACGTCTGGCAACGATCCGCCACGAAATGCGCCTAGCGACTGGCCAGGCTGCGCGGTACCGATGCGCAGCGTGTTTTTTGACCGGTCGATATGAGGCGATGCTACCTGTAACAGTATTAAGTTTTATTTATGGGGAGCGGAAGACTGTGACAGATCCTTATATGGAGGGCCGTGCTATACATATTCTATATGTCCTATTTTAGTTTTGTCTAAAATATTTCAATTGCCTGTAGATTTTGCTTTTCTATTACAGTGCCTTAGTTTCACTTATAATAGTGCTCATATTAATGGTAAGTGAGGAAGTTTACTTGAAAGGAGAAGCTACAAATGACAAATTTCTTATGAATTAATTAAAAAGCAAAAGATTGTATCAAGTTGGAATATGCTTTCACCGTACAGCAAGAAAAAGTTGATTTCATCATTTTACCAAGCAGATAATAAAATACTCCTCACAGAAAAACAACACCAAAATAAACTCTATTTAATTTTAGCTTTATTTATTACAAATAATATCTCAAATGCATGGTATTTTTGTTTTGTCACTCGATAACAAACACAATCTTGAAAATGACCAAAATCGTTTTGCAATACAAAAAATCGTTTTGCAACCCAAAAAAAAATGGTGTTATTTATAAACGTTTCGATTAGACAACATTTAAAATTGATCTAATTAACTTATGAATAATCTAGAAAATAGTAGAAAATAATAGTGAGAATTTCATAAATCTGTCAAAACTGGTATTCCAACAATAAATTGACATGTTTTGATTGTTGATTTGAACCAATCAGATTGTAATTACGCGATAATTTGCACTAGTGCAAATTATCAGATAATTGCATACTAAATGGTGAGAAAACTGGTGTTTTGACATTTTTTGACAAAAAATTTAAATTTTTGATTTATGAAATTCTCTCATTAAATACAACTCGTGCAATGGAAATATATTTATAATTTTCGACAAATTTGCACTCGTGCGTTTTTAACTGAAACTCTTTTCAACTAAAAATGCATTCGGGCAAATATCCCAAAAATTATCAATAATTTCCATTGCACTAGTTATATTACTATTGATAATTTCGTTTAATTTATTGTGGGTGAATCATCTATTAGCTTGCTTTTGGTTTCAATCAGAACCAGTTCTAGATAGTTGTACCCTCGGTTGTACCATATAATTTTCGATGCCATTAGTAAATAATTATGTGAATACCAACACCAACTATTTTGAAGGGTTCTAGAACTGGATTTTGCTTTAATATTATTTTGAGGAACAGAGAACAAATCTTTAAGGTCAACTAAAACGGCCTGTTGAGAATTTGCATAAAGGTTCATTAAATTTTAGCCCATTACCAGTATGCTAACTTATAAAATAAAATGTTGATATTATCTACCATCCATGCTGATTATTGAATATTAAGTATACACATTAATTTTTATTTTCCGCATTTTAATTAAAATCAATTTAAATATATAAGTACTCAACTTAAATGGTTTTAAGTGGATTGAAATTGTTTGAGCAAAATTCATCCACGAGGAGAAAACGCCAAGAGAGCCTACCGAAACATAATTAATATTTAGCAAGGATCTTTTAAATAATTGAACTTGTTCCAAATTAAAAGCACATCGCACCTGATCAACAATAATTCTCGTATTTATTTTTAAAGTAACATTACCTATGTTTGAGCATTGAGAGAATTGATATTGTATCGGAATTCCTGATTCAAACAGTGATTATGATTATGTTCAAAATTTTTCTTTGTTAAAATCAGTATCCAGCTTGACTGAATACAAATGAAAGAAATAAGAATTCCTATACCGGAGTAATGACTTTTCATCATTTGTTAATTTTATTACCATTTAAGTAGATCTTGAGGCAGCTGTAATAGTTTGATAATGTATTTAATTATTATATTCACCAATTATATGTATGTATTAATCGAGGTATTAATTATATGTACAGCGTCAAAAATTAGTTTATAAATGACACCAATTATAAGTTTTGGCCTCGATCTTGGCCCAACAAGTGTTTATATTATTTGCTGGCCAATATTTAGGTTTCTAGTACTACTACTTAGTGCTAAACTTTGATGCCACTCACTGGAACTATATTAAAACGGCTTCTAATAAAATCTATTTAAAAATTATGAGTTTTAGGTATACGCTTGGGGACCTTTTTAATTTCTATTATTATTTTTTGTTATTCCAAATTTATAAATTTTCTTTTTATTCTATCCCAGGCTTAAAGATGTTCACAAGCTTTAACTGATTCAAGTTGATTTGGGGTAATTTGAAAATTAATTTTAAAAGATTAAAGCTGATTTAAGGAGGTTCAAGCTGATTTAAGAAGATCCAGCTGTTTGTAACTTTC